CTATAGCAAAAACACTTGACTAATGAAAAATATAAAAAAACTAGAATAAATGAAAAAGCAAAATTGAGGTCAAATTTGTTTAATCTTAAGGTTTCATTTGGAATTGCAATCCTGTCCTTTCCTCTAATTTGAAAAATATAAATGTTTATTCAGTCGATATGGGTGACGGATTCATGGCGGTTCCATTGCGGTCGTCAGCCACAGGAAAGCCGATAAGATCAGCCGCTGATCTTGACTGCAAGGACTTTGATGCTTGTCGATGGAGAACTGGTGGCGAGGCTGCGAAAGTATATTTGACCTTTATAAAGGTTATAAAATGAGGAAGACGTTCCCTTTTAGCCATGGCAGATGTCGTCGAGTCCACTTCCACGCGAATTGATTTTCAGCGCCACCGGTAATTATGTCGGGCCTGAGGGAACCTACAGTGTGCTTTATATAGAGCAGGATACAAAGGTAATTGTTACTGTTTCCGGAATTCCCACCCCAGACCTTTGCAATGTGCAGGAAGCTTATGAAAATTCAGTGACTGAGTCCTCAAATCTAAGCAGTTAACATTCATTTCATTTTGTTTGATTGATTTCATTTAGTTTCATTTTATCAACTTTAAATTCATTTTGTTAAGTCAAACTCTTACGTGGATTCTATCATTTAATTTTTCATCCTGTTTTGTAATTGGTGCAAAAATAATCGCCGATTTTCCAAGCCTTTTTTCGGGGCCTTTTAATCAAAATTTCTTCTTTGAAACAAGTAGCGCATGCAAATAAAAAGCTCTTTTCATGCTCTATCTACTGGTGTAGATGGCTTCCAGCCTCATCCGTTACGTAGTTGCACGGCTTCGAATAAAGGCATCTAAAATCAGAATCTCGTTGCATTCACTTTTCTGGCCAGGATTCAAACGAATGAGCGCGCTCCCTCAAAAATTTAGCTAGCTGTATATAAAAAAATTCTCTACATTATACATGCTTAACTATTTTTTGAGAGATTCTCTAGACTAAAATATCGGCTCCTCATGGGTGGCCGTTGCAGTCATAGTATGACCCATAAATTTCTTTTGAAATAGGCACTCGCCAAAGTTTCCAAACAATTTTTGATTTCAGTTTTTTTCTTTCGCAAATCTTTTTCGTACAAAGCCTTTTCACCGGCTTTTGTTCCACAAGATAGGCTACTTGCCATTTACAGTAAGAATCTTTGAAGAGAGTTACGACTTGTTTAACACAAGGTTTCAGAGAGAAAAACTTTTCTGTTCACCTATCCATATTTCTCTGCCCTTGTGAGATATAAGTATAGATGAATGTGCGCTGT